ATTGACAATATTTTATATTCATTGTCAATATTATATTAATTGTAAATATTATATGTTCATTGACAATATTTTATATTAATTGTAAATATTATATGTTCATTGACAATATTTTACATTCATTGTCAATATTATATTCATTGTCAACATTATATGTTCATTGACAATATTTTATATTCATTGTCAATATTATATGTGCATTGACAATATTTTATATTCATTGTCAATATATTATATTCATTGTCAACATTATATGTTCATTGACAATATTTTATATTCATTGTCAATATTATATGTGCATTGACAATATTTTATATTCATTGTCAATATATTATATTCATTGTCAACATTATATGTTCATTGACAATATTTTACATTCATTGTCAATATTATATTCATTGTCAATATTATATATTCATTGACAATATATTATATTCATTGTCAACATTGTATGTTCATTGACAATATTCTGTATTCATTATAAATATTATATTCATTGACAATATCATATTCATTTTATGAAAATAAGGATCATGGTTGATCGAATCTCTCCTAAATGTTACAAATTAAACGATACGACCATACACTGAAAGGGTCCAAACGATTTGCCAGTTACATGATTTTATTTTCTAAAAGAGTCCGCAGACATTTGCATTAACCTTCGACGGCCCAACTTTCACAATTCATTCGGGAGAAAGTGAAACGAAACGAGAAACAAAATGGTTCAGTGGAGCCCCAGCGTGATGGGTTTGAAGCACCGCGAGAGTGCAGTGAAAATGCGTCAACTGTACCCGCCGTTCTTGCAAACGGAGTATCAGGATCTACCGGATGTCCAAGAAATGACAACAGAGCCACCCAAAATCGAGTTAGTTCATCGTACGAGAAAAAGAATGAGCGTCTCCGATGTTGCCGAGGGTAAGATCTCTTTCATCGAACACTTTAATTTTCTTAATTTACATATCATATACAGGGTGTCCCAAAAATGTCTCGCAATCCGGAAACGGCGGGTTCCTCGGATCATTTGAAGCAACTTCTTCCTTTACAAAAATTTTCTCCGAGGCACCGTTAACGAGTTATTAACGAAAGAACAGTGACCAATAAGAATCGAGTACGGCCGATGCGAGGCGGCCCAGCCAACCAGCGCGCGAAGCCCAGTTTCGCTCATTGGCTCGGTCGCCTCGCGCCAGTCGAGCACGCCTCTCATTGGTCACTGTTTTTCGTTAATAACTCGTTAACGGTGCCTCGGAGAAAATTTTTGTAAAGGAAAAAGTTGCTTCAAATGACCTAAGAAACCCGCCACTTTCGGATTGCGAGACATTTTTGGGACATCCTGTATATATGTATACATATATGTACACGCGTACGTTCGGAAAACATTGGTCCGACGGAGCAGATTTTATTCGAACCAAACAAAGATGACGGTAATCCGGATGTCGAGTGTTCATGACTCTTTGATTACAATTCGCGAGATCCGACCGGCCGTGTAAAAAAAAGAACAAACAAAAACAAAAAATAGCCGCGCGATATTTATTTTCTAGGATCGGGCGGAGTCATCAATCGTCATTCGCCGGCAGTAACATCGATCACGTTTGACATGATTTTTGGGGGGTAGCCGTCCGTCGATCACGCGATCTCTCCAGAGGGAATTCAATGCCCCGAGTTTCGATGGTTTCGTTGGAATGCGTTCGCCGCGATGATGCGTGCGCCTATCCATAAACGCCGTTCCCATCGATAACCGGCCGCGGCTCTGACGCCGCGCTCCCCCCACTTTCTCCCCGCTGCTACAAATTTATTAACCGCTCTCTTTCCAGCTTTGTTCTCCTCCGCGTGGACCGCGCGGCTCCTTTTCGCTCGCCGTTGAAAATCCGCGTTCGAGTTTCAGATTTATGGAACGGAATCGATCGATTGATCATATTGAGCATATTGAGAATCTTGCGAATTCTTATCTCGGACGCGCGTAGCAACGTTTATATTACGTTATATTATTCCTGAGATCATTCGAAGCAACTTTTTCCTTTGCGAAAATGTCCTACGAGGCCTCGTTTACGAGTTATCGACGAAAAGCGCGGACCAATGAGAGGCGAGCTCGCCCAGCGCCACGCTGGGATGATTGCTGAGATCATTCGAAGCAACTTTTTCCTTTGCGAAAATGTCCTATGAGGCTTCGTTTACGAGTTCTCTCGACGAAAAATGCGGACCAATGAGCGGCGAGCTTGCCCAGCGCCACGCTGAGATGATTGCTAAGATCACTCGAAGCAACTTTTTCCTTTGCGAAAATGTCCTATGAGGCCTCGTTTACGAGTTATCAACGAAAAACGCTGACCAATCGGAGCGCGAGGCAGTGGCCGCGAGAGCGGGGCACCAGCCGAGCTCGCCACTCATTGGTCACCGTTTTTCGTGAATAACTCGTAAACGAAGCCTCGTAGGACATTTTCGCAAAGGAAAAAGTTGCTCCAAATGACCTCAGGAATCATCTCGTTGAGACAGATAGTACTGTCACACGAAAAAAACATTTTCTCGAGTGTACGGTATTTCCAAAGAAATGAAAATGCATTTTACTCGCCAAAAATAATGAACGTCGTCGCCGACCGAAGTAAAATTTCCATCCGTCAATTTCCGTCCATAAACACTGTGTGTGTGTTCGTGCAAAATGATCGAATTTTATGCTGAAACAATTGCAAAGAACAGAAGGTAAATAAAAATGTATTTATCCTACCGACGATTTCAATAAATTGATAAAAGTGTAGCAGACGTTTATAACATTCTTCTTTGTAACATTTTTCGTTCTGACAAAGACTGTGTCCCTTTGAATTTGGTTCAAGGCGCGCGACACTGTTCCCGATGGGGGTGGGAGGGGGGAGGGGAGTCCCTTTTGTCACGAAACGCTGAAACTGTGTGTATTTCTTGCGCAATAAACCTGCATTACGGTCGGGGTTAGTAAGTACGAGTGTCGCGGCTCTTGTTCCTCCACCCCCGGACAAGGGGGCGGAGAACGGGGGCAGCCGTTCGAATCGTGTATGCATACCGCTTATATTTCCGCTTTCAGAGAGGTTCGCGGAGATCGGGGACAGAGCGCCGCGGGACGGCAAGGATTATCGGTGGTGGGGGCAGGAGGAGTTCGGCGAGGATGAAACGGATCGCGACGAGGAAAAAACGAGACCCGTGTTATTGTGGCCTCTGGACCGTTGCAAAACATATTCCGTGCGGAGCAAACACGAGCTGGAACCCGACACCACGGACCCCTATTTGTCCCACGAGCTGTACGCATCGACCCGATCGCTGTAACGTTCCGTTACATTCGTTTCTCGTCTTCGGAGCAATTACGACAGGGCAGTGCGCGCCTGGTTATACAGGGTGGACCTCTTATAACTTCCAAAATATGCGTCGCACGAAAACATTTTATATACAAAAGATGCACGGTTTCAGGGGGCACATTGCGTGGTGCATTTATTTTTTTTATAGCTGGAGACGTTTTGGAGATTCGAGAATTAGCTTTGTTTTTTTAAATAGATTACTATACTTTTTATATCGAAATATGGAAGAATATCGAGTTCTGAGTAGAAAAGTATTGACCTTTATTAGTCGTAAAGCTAATGGCTAACGAGTAATTTCACTTTATTTCTGGGAAATTTTCTTCGCGTATTGTTCAAGCATAATTTATTTTATATTTATATTTATCGCACAGGTCAAAGTTAAATCTTATTTTTCATTTAGATTAAATTGATCATTTATTCGTTGAAATTAACCCTTCGCACAGGAGCGACGAGTCTGGATTATTGTTTAACAATTGACGCGCTGTAATTTACAACAATGTTTACATGCCTGGAATTTTATATATATAATAAATAACATATATAATATATAATAAATATAATAAATAACAATAAATTGTTAAAAACTTAAATTTGGCACTTTCAAATAGACGAAATGAAATAGATGAAATGAATGATCATATTAAATAGTATCGAGTGCAAAGAGTTGAATTGTAAAAGTCAAAAATTCTTAAAATACCGCAAAAATAATTGCAATGTTTTGACAGTGAATTCGCGAAATTCAGTAAAATATATATCGTTCTAGGTAAAATATCACAATGTAAATTATACTGGTAAAACGTATTTAACATAACGAAAACACAAAACAGTGATTATTTATTTGAATCTTTGTTTTCAGTTTCAATTTCAAACATCGACAATGAAGTTTAAAGAAAAGGGCATTTAAAGTTTTAATAACTTTTAATAACATTTCTCAATAACAAATATTATATATGTATAATATATGTATATAACAAACATATTAAATATATAAATATTAGTTTCACCGAATTTCATACTAATGTACAATGAACAAAATGAAATATCTATAAATGAATAGAATAAAAAAACAATCTATATAAATATAGCTATCATATATTTAATCATATTATATATTTCTATTATATTTATATTATTATATATTATTATATTTACATTATTATATATTATTATATTTATATTATAAATATTATATATATTCTTATTATATTATATATTTATAATATATATTTAATATTTTTTAATATCTAATATTTTTTAAT